ATATATATATATATATATATATATATATATATATATATATATATCTGTTTACTTTTTAATTTCTCTGTACCATTTTTGTTACATGATGTAGTACTTGTTATAATTTGTTGATAAGAATTAAAAGGAAAAAACTAATTTATGGCAGTTGTGTTTGTTTCCTTTTATTGTAATCTCATGGTTGTTTTGAATTGATCATGCTAATTATAGAGGCTCTATGATATGCTCATGTTGACTTTCTAGTGAATTTTCAATAGTTATTAGTTATTACAACTTACAACAATGCCTACATGCCTTCTAAACTTCATTGTGCAATATCTTTTTCTGATAAGATGAAATTAAATATTTAAGATGGACTTTCTTATCTTCAGACTTTTAGACATTGTTTACGTGATTTTGAGCAGATACTTGGTTTCTTTTGTGCTGGCGTAGTACTCAATCAGTTTGGTCTTATTAGAAACCTCACAGATGTTAAACTTCTATCAGAATGGGGGATTCTCTTCCTGGTATGCTTTTCTTCTTGTTTCATTTACATGTCTTTTATGCTATTTCTGATCTATCTACAACCAAATGCTTGCTTTTAGTTTTTAAAATTTTTCTTAATTTTGTGCTTGATCCTGATTCGCTTAAGACTCTTTCGATTAGTGCAAGTGAAATTTCATCTCATCCTCTAGCGGTGATCATCATATGCTTATCTTTGAGCTATGTGATTTATAAGTTTCCCTTCTGAATTTATAATGAAGTAGTTAATCTCATAAATAATGTCATTGATATCTTCAAATCATGTCATCTTCAGTAACATTGACTCTGTTGCAATATAGTAGTTTGAATTGTCCATAAAAAGATTTTGTTTACAGTGAGCATAAATAATCTGGCAATGTGTGGGCTTTTATTTATGTTGTGCTTGAACCTACTTCCGGAAAGTGTAAATGTAATAACTAATAAGGTGTCATTTATTTGATTGAAAAATTGCATAGATTGTCTGGCAAATTAAGTTTGTTGCTATATGTTTGTTTCACAAACTTATAATTAACTTGCACTTGTCTGAAGATTATGTATCGTCTAGTGATCTGTAAAATTTCTCTTGTCGCTCTTCCTGCCTATATTTACCTCTTTTTACTCTCCACATTCAATAGTTCATTTAAATAGCAAAAATGAAAGATGTGTTTTACATTATTGACAAGACAGCATATTAAATAGTTTTAAAAGGACAGGATTGAGATGTAGGTTGGTTTGATCTGTCTGATTGTGAACCCTACCCAACCTAGCACTTGTAAATACCCACTTAAACCCAACCCAAGCTGACTTGGGCAACTTTTTTCAACCTTGGTCCAAGCAAATTGCATGTCCTGTAGGTAAAGCTTTATCGGCTGATAAATGGTATGGAGCTGGCCTCCAGGCATGTTTGGGCTTCATTTTGATCTGAATAGGCTGGAACTTATGAGCTGGGTATATTTAAAATGAAAGTTTGTTTCAGTTTCAATTCTGGCGTTATTAGTTCAAAGTTGTTTTGGTTGGACTCTCAAGCTAAATCAGATTAGTGGTGTTGATCATAACTGAAATAAATGATGCTAATACTATAAATTTTATGAGTAAAACTCGTAATGATCATGGTACTTACAGAAATTGTAGAAAACCAAATTGGGTTAGCTTTGGTTTGGTTTGGACTAGACTTATACTGTGCTCAGGTTGGTTTTATGTCAACTCAACTCTTAATTAATCTGAGAGTGGGGTGTAATGAGATTTCCTATTGCTAACTCAAAACTATCCTGGAAAGGTTCCTACCTAACCTGGCCCATTGGTTGTGCTAACATCAAATCCAATTGAAGTTGATCCCAAAAGATACGTTTTAGGTAGTCTTTTTTTTCTTTCTTCAAGTACCTTATCAAACATAGTATGTAAATTTGGTATTAGGTATTCAATTCCCATCATAAGAAGAAATTGACCAAGCTATGCAATGACATTAAAGAACCAAGAGTGCCAACTGAATCCATTGCTCATTATAATATCATGACATAAACAAACAAAATAGGTCATGAATACTTCTATGTAAATGCAAATGTTGTATGTTAATGAAACTTGACAAAGGCTTTCAATTATTTTTGGGTTCTATAATGAGCATCCTGATTATAATGTTACAGAATATGCCAAACTTTTATTATATGCCACACTGCCACTCGTCCACCTGAAAAGCTTAAGATTTTAGGGATATGAATTTACGATATGATATGCCCGCTCATCCACTGACATCCATAAATTTGTTGACAAGCTCTAGTCAACACTAAATTTCTTGTAAAAGTTTATGCTAGTCTTCTTTATGACTTATGTTACTTTCCATGTGATTCTATTATCTACAGCTATTTGAGATGGGACTAGAGCTTTCATTGGCACGTCTAAAAGCTCTTGCAAAATTTGCGTTTGGACTGGGTTTGACACAGGTTTTATCTTAACATTCTTTTGAACTCTTTATTACTACTGTGGTTTAAATGTTTTCTATTTGTATCTTGGATATAATTGCTCAAGGCACCATGCAATATGCTCAAGTATATAGGACAGCGAGGAGTGAATTTACTTGGAAATGTTGATGACTGCAAAAGATGCTAAACTAGTCATTGATTTTTTTACATTTGTCTTTATTGTACCATTTATTGAAACTATTATTTCTCTTCTTAATTATTCATTTTTATTTCTTTCATCATATATGTAAAATTTATGTGCATGCTTGTTGAGTTCATGGGTGCTTCTTACTAAAACTTATTTGTGTTTCCCACTAGCCTAAGCTTTTACGAAAAGTGGCGAGTCAACTAATTGTTTTATGACTTTATCATGGTATCGTGAGTCAACTAATTTCATCTAGTACTTTACCTGCATGTGGACCTTTGTGCAAGGCCTGGCACCAAATATCCCATTGTGTCAAGTTCTATAATCTTTCAGTTCACTTGTGATGGGGACGATTGAATGCTAATATTTATATTGTTGAGCTTTTTGCTACTAGCTTAGTCTTTTGAAAGGAGTGGTGACCCAACTAATCTTTTGTCGCTTTTATTTCACTTGAATATGCAAGTGTTAGGCACTTGTAGCATCAAATATCTTTTGCCAAAATTCAACTGCGGGTTATATTATTTTTTATACTAATATAAAAACTTCATCATTGATGTCTTCATCCTATGTCACCCATGTTGTTACTTTAACTCCTCCTGCATGTTCTAAACATCAATTTTCCCTTTCCTTTTGCTCCTATTGACTTTGTTATGAAGAATGCCATATTTGTTTGGAACATCATGCAGCCTGAAGCATTACAAAAAACCTGCAGTTCTGTCACATTAAAACTTGTATTGAAATAAAGTGCATTTTTAAACCATGTTGATGGAAATAGAGCTTAAACTTAAATGCCCAGTTTATATCCTTATGATTTGACTTTTATAGTCCTAAAACATCTTTCATGTGTTAGATCCATGATATTTGTGTTTTTTACTTGTGCCTTGTGATCGTTCTTGGAAATCAATTTTGGTTTCGTTATAACTTATAAGGCTTAATGGTTGACATTGAATGGTGCTCACCCTGCTTCACATCCTATGCCTTGAAGGTTGTGTTGTCAACTCTTGCCTTTACAGCATTTGAGCTTCCTCCTAATGGGGCTGTTGGAACAAAGATTTTGCAGTTTCTTTTCAACTCACGACCTGATCTGGTGAGGGTTCCTCCTTGATCATCTAATAAAGTGATAATGGAAATTTTACTTTGTTATTTTTTATTTTATGTTTGTGAATTGAACTTATTGCCAGAATGTCATTTTATAGATTAATATAGTTTTTTGCAAATTTTTTTGTTGCATTGTAAGAGCTGGATACTGTAAGCATTTTTCTAATATGGGCACCTCAAAGCATGCCATGTTAATACTGGATATATGTTGTCACTGATACTCAGTAAACCCTCCTCATTTGCATGTCAGATGCTACAGATATTTCTTCCCCTCTGAGATAACATAAGCTCAGACCCTAGATTCTTCAGTGTTACTCCTTGGATCTTTATTCAGACATCTAACCAATAAACCATGAACTCTTGTTGGTGGAAATGGATAAATTGAATGATCCTCTCTTGTGGTATTGCCATCACATGGAACACTACAAAATGGCAATTACTTCTGATAACACTAGTCTTTTCTGATGCTGTTAGAATTTTCAATTCTTTTTATTTACTTAGAGCATTTTATTGGAGAAGCAGCTTATTTATCAAGATTTAGCATTAGGTTGCAAAAATATTTTTTTATTAACTTAAAAAAAAAAGAAAAGTCAAACTTGTCATATATGTACAAATGCCACATATTTATCATTAATTTTTTTGTGGTCATAGTTTTGTTTTCCTGATCATTTTCTAAAGAATTCTTGTATCAGCATATCCATGACTTCTCGAGTTCATAACTGGGCTTCATAATTATACAATACAACCAATTTTGTCATAGAAATATTGCTAGTCATGTACAGATGAATGTACTGAACATGTTTGTGTTCAGCTATAAATGGAAGCAACCAACATGTCCTCAAACTGCTTGTAGTGGTCAATTGCTAAAAAGACATTTCACATGAGTTTAGTGTTTTTCAAACTTCTTTTGGATTTGCCTTTTAATATTGTCATCAACATGATCTAAGCTTGCCATCAAATAGGATCTATATGTAAGGTGCAAATCTTAATTGAAAGACTTGATGCAAACAATATGACATCTTCTTTAAGAACGGTTTGAAGTGAAAAATCAAATCTCTACAAATTGATAATGATATTCTGCACAGAAAAAATTATCCATAGAAAATCATGGTATAAAAAATAGAAAAAGGTATTTTGGGTGTTCACCTACCTTCTTTTTCAGTGTTGCAGCCAATAATCAGTCTTGTTAAAAGATGCCACATAAAGAAAGAGTCCATAGGAAGTTGGTTAAGCTACATCTCTAGATGGTGTAAATAATGGGAATATAATAATTTTAATTTTGATGGATCTTCTAATGTCACAAAATCTTCAATCATCTTTTAATATATCTAATTTTGATGGATCTGCTAATGACACACATCAATATGTTTTAGCATGGATACTTGTTTGAACCAGTAAATACCGGTCTGTATTGGTTGTTCTTGTTGAGATTTTGAAATCTTGGTTGCGATCTTTGGTGAGACATCTTTCACATTTCAGATTATTTCTGTGGCATTAAACTATAACCTAAACAATTTATTTTTTTATAACAAAAAGGGTGGCCTAGTGCATGAGGCTTCCACCAATTGTTTTAGGAACAAACAGTTTTCTATTACATGTAAATTAATTCAGTAAGTCATAAATTATTTAGCATTAATATTGCTTTTGTTTCTGTGATGTTAAGATACCTGGTTTGCTTGCTGCAATGCAGGTCAATATTAGAAGCATTGATGAAGCCATTGTGATTGGAGCTGCCCTTTCATTATCATCTTCTGCTTTTGTACTACAGGTGTGCATATAACCACTTCATATTTTTACCGGTTGACCAGGCAGTAGCCTACCGGTTGTATTTTTACCTTATAAAGAAGTATTTCCATGTTTACCTCCAGTGCTAGGTTTGCCACTCAACACATTCTGAGACTGACTATGAATTTTCTCAGGACACGAGAAAGGATAATAATATGGATGTCAATTTAAATAATATTTGTAGTAGAATAAATATGACCTGGAAAGGAATCGATATACATAATTGCCTTGGCAGGAGATTACAGATTAGTGCTACCAAGACAAAAATCAACTGAAGGTGATGGCATTAACAGAACAACAAATTAATAGGAATTAGAATAATATATATTACAAGAATATCTTTGAATTCTTATTTGAAAGCATGGTGATTGCACCTCAAACTACTAAAACTATCTTAAAGAGCTCTGTGATGACTTAAGGAAAGCAATTGTTCAAAGCTTATTAGTTTCCTCAGTTCTCACCATGAGCATAAACCAGAAGGAATATAAGTGGATGAATAAAGAAATTAATATATGAGATTTTATTATCTTCTCTTTTATGTGAACTTAGATCATTATTCTACAATAGCAAGATTCCTATGCTTGAGCATCATTAAGATATTTTTGCTATTTAACCTACGAATTTTCCTGTAAAGCTTCTTGCAGAGAAAGGCGAGCTCCCTACACGTTTTGGTTCTGCAACTTTAGGCGTTCTTCTTCTGCAGGTTCCTATTCTTCTAGCTGTTGCATTTTCTGTTTTATGAAATATATTTTCTTAGATGGAAAGTTTTCCATGTGAAGGTTTTAGGTTACTTGTTTTAGTGTTTTGGTGAATGCATGCTTTTGGTTGATTTTTTCAGGACATAGCAGTTGTTCCTTTACTGGTGATTCTTCCAGTGCTTGAGAGTCAGGTAATAAAAAGATTTGATTTAATTTGCAACAAGTTTTTGATGAAAGAGATGCATCCTAGTGATGCATATATTTTAATGAAGTTTTATTTTCTACATTCTTCCTGCTCAGCGAAAGACAATGTGAAGTATATTAAGTACCTCTTCTGATAGGATTCGGATTTGCTTTTAACAACTATTTAGTTGATGCTTTTTCATATAACATAAGATTAAAATGAGAAAAGGAATTTACCATAAAACTATCTTAATTTCTTTTAATTTTAACATATATTGATGAAAAGCAACACAATGCAGTGAATTATTTCATGATTATCAAGTTAAATAAATGTTGATAAATTTACTGTTCCTGGTCCTAGGCATGGATTGGAGTTGTTTAGTGGCTTTTACCAACCTAACGACATATTTTATTTGTAAACAGATGTTCTAGCTTGATATATGGGTCCTGATCCATAGTCTCATGTTATTGCTTCTTCACTAGTGTCCCAACCCGCCTTCAGCTCCCATTTGGAGAAAAAGTGGGTACCTACTGCCTGTGACTTGTCAAATTATTTTGGAAACTGAATATATATATATTTTGGGTTAATCTGAGAGAACTACAGTGTAACATAAAATTCATGCCAAAGCTATTTGTTCTCATAAAAGATGTGGATCTAAGGCACAATATAGAAGTTAAGCTCTGTGATGACTATTTGTGATCGGGGTTGTCAATTCCCTTTCACAATAGGTATAATTAAATTTGACCTTTTTTTATCAGTACAAGTTTGGCCTTTTTCACAACCTGGTCAAGTTTTAGGTCTTCATTCATCTGGAATTTATTGCATATTTTAGTACATCCCCTTGGTTTCTGTATATACTAGTTCCAAATTATTGTTTCATCTTTGTTGTCAATAAATTGTCTTATAGATTCACATATATGCTCATATTTCATTCTTAGGTTTGGTTGCCATAGTCTAACATAAAGTATGTGTGATGTCCCCTATTTTGCTAATTCACTTTTGCCCACAAGAATTGCTCCAATTTATGTACCCTACCACCAAGACGTTTCAACTCTTTCTTCCTCTACCTTTCTGTTTGCTTCTGTGATGGACGCTAAATTTTAAACTGATTACACTATGGCATCACTTGGCCATACATTTTGACTAAGATCTAGATCCTTTATCTTAATTTTACTCTTAGATTACTTTACGTTTTTTTAATCTTCTATGCAGTTTTGGGCACTTTAACATTAGAAAGTTCCTCTAAGATTCAACAAATTGTTTAATTTTATATCAGTTGACATCATACCATTCTCTTTAATCGAATGTCATGCTAAATATACTCTTGCCATTATAAACTTTCATTGAAGTAAAGAAACAATTATAAACTGTATGATATAATACTTTTGCTGTCCTTTAATTTCAGAATCTTGCAAAGGAAAGTATTTGGCCAATGCTAGCAGCTGAAAGTCTGAAAGCTTTAGGTGGACTTGGTCTCCTTTCCCTTGGAGGAAAATACTTTCTTAGGCGAATATTTGAAGTCAGTATGAAATTCTTTCAGCAACGCATTCTGAATCCATTAAAATTGGCACAATACCTGTAAAAGGTAAAAACTATTGTGTTAGCACAGGTTGTTGCTGAGTCAAGGAGCTCAGAAGCTTTTGTTGCTCTGTGCCTGCTCACAGTGTCAGGGACTTCACTTCTTACTCAAATGTTGGGCTTCAGCGACACGGTAGGATATGTAATTCTTTTTTAGGTTGCTGAGCTTGTTACTCTGCTCAGTGTACTTAATTTCAAATGTCACTTCTAGTTAGGAGCATTTCTGGCAGGAGCACTTCTAGCAGAGACAAATTTTCGGACACAAATTGAAGCTGACATAAGGCCTTTCAGAGGTTTACTGCTTGGACTATTCTTTGTTGCCACAGGGACATCAATCGACATGCAGGTACTATCATATTTATGTCGAGGATTATATGCCCACTTATTGCAGAATCAGAATGTACTTGGTTTCAGGTCTTTTAACTAATTTATGTATCATCACTAGCTTTAAGCAACTCCAACTTTATTTCAGGAATATATTCTTGTGTTGTGCAATGTTGAGAAATCATATTTACTGCATGGGCTCATAAGTTGGTGATATGTCAACCAGCATGGTGCTCTTTGCCACCTGATATGGGCCCTTTTATAGGGCAGCACAATGTTGGCATATCCTTAGCCTATTATAGCGCTGACATAATATTGTCATAAGGTCAGCACGATCCAGCATGGACATTCTTAAATCCAAGTCGCTGAGTCTACCTTGAACTCTATTTGTCAATGATTATTGTGATTCTTTTTCACTAGCTTTTGTTTATATTATGATATAAAGATAATGGAACTTGTTCTGTGTTTTAAAATGTCCACATTCTTGTGATGAAAAACAAACTCTTCTAAATAGTCAGCGAAATATATTGATGCAAAGTCAATATTCCCATCATCACTAGAAAGTTTGAGTCAATGAGGAAATATTTTCAGTGATTTCAACTGGTTCTTGGTTTGGAATAGAGGTTCTTTGTATAGTAACAGGTGAGTAGAATGCTGTAAAACTAATGATTGATAGATTGAGGAATTACGCTGTTACTTTACGTAAAAGCTAAAGAGACCAAGTCTGAATTTTAATGTGCTTTCTGTGATTTATGATTGATAATATAGTCATATGGCGGATTTTATGAATTCATAAGAGTGTTCACTCAATGATCAAGGTTCACTTTGATACGAAATAGAGACAATCATTTAGTCATGAACGGAACTGTATGTTGGATTCCTCATGATGTCTGGCATTGTCCATCATCAGGTAGAGGCCCATCATTATACAGATTACATAGTTCATTTTAGTGGTCCAGACTATCGAATGGAACCAGACACAAAAAGCCTGAAAAGTTATTATTAAAACCTTTGTTTTTGACTGAAAGGCGACACCACAAAACAATGGTCTGGAACCCTAGGCCTAATGGAATCTTTTTTTTTAATGTAGATTACAGAATTAGTTCCTATTAAACGGGCAAAAAAAAAAAACAATTCAGCAATTCATTTTTGCTGATTGATAATTCTGTCATGGCCTGATGGAATCTTTTTTGTTAGTATAGATTACAGAATCAGTTCCTATTAAACAGACAGAAGAAAAACAATCCCATCATTCATTCTTTCTTGTTGATCACGGCAGTATTTGTAGTCGTTTAATTTATATATGCTGACAATGTGCTTCTTCTTTCCGAATTTGTATGGGAGCATAACATTTGTTAAATTTAGGCACTATGGGATTATCTAATAATATCTGTTCACTTAAAATTATTAAATCAAGTCAATTGTGCAACTTTTAGTAAACCTGAAGTTTATTGCATTTATTGACTTCAAACCTCAAGTCTTTGTTGCCATCTATTTGGAGATATCTCCTTGATACCTTCTTCAGTGACATTATTTTGACTTGGAAACTGGAGTCTGTAGTTTCACATTTGCCTTTATGCGCTCAACAATTAATACATAAAAGTCAAAATTGGAATGAAGCTTAGCATAATTTTATTATATCTTGGTAAAAAAATTATTGAATATTGTATTTTTGTTGGAAGTCATGGAAGCAAGTCAGTGAACAGTTTTTTTCATAAGTCTGAAGTTTGTATCTCAGTACTTCAAGTGCATGCACTTTCAAGTTGCTCTAGTATTGTTCCAATTACAACTACCATATGAAATCCTATGAGCTTCATCCAGCGTTCTTTAACTTTTTCTGCTATGCAGCTCCTATTCCGAGAGTGGCCAAATGTGCTTTCCCTCTTGGCAGGTTTAATTGTTATCAAGACAATGATTATTACTACAATAGGCCCTCGTGTTGGACTAACCTTACAAGAAAGTGTAAGAATAGGATTGCTTCTTTCACAAGGAGGAGAGTTTGGTTTTGTGGTATTTTCTTTAGCAAACAGGTCAGTTATTAATAAGCTGTCTAAGAACAAGTTTTAGTTGATAAAAAAAATTGTTAATGCACTCTTGCGGACTTTCCTTTTCAATCAGGCTTGGCGTTCTACCACTTGAGCTAAACAAGCTTCTCATTATTGTCGTTGTGTTGTCAATGGCATTGACACCTTGGCTTAATGAAATTGGAAGAAAAGCTGCTGAAATCCTTGATGAGAAGCTTCAAGTAAAAGAGGTATTTCTGTAGACTATTTTAGTTCTTTAAGTCATGGGTGATAGATCGGCCTTTTATTCATTGCTAGTTCACTCCTTGGGAATTATTAAGTCTTTGCTTTACAGAAAGGGGCTGACATGATAAGCTTTGATGCAACTGAACCAGTGGTTATTGTAGGGTTTGGGCAAATGGGCCAGGTATTACCGCTGCCAACTGATTGCCATAGTTATAGACTTATAGTTCAATCAGAATGTACATTTTACTCATGTTCTTAGCTTCCAATAATGCAGGTTCTTGCTAATTTTTTATCAACTCCATTGGCCTCCGAAGATGACAACCTGGGGTTACCATATGTTGTATTTGATCTCAACCTAGGTGTGGTCAAGGTACAAAATGATATTTTCACCAACCGAGATTGTCTAGTTGGCTATTGCTGATAGATGTGGATCTTAATCTTCTATATTCTAATTGTTGAAGATGGATGCTCTTATTGTTCCAACCAGGCAGCAAGGAAACTGGGTTTTCCCATACTGTATGGAGATGGGTCACGCCCAGCAGTTCTGCAATCTGCTGGTATATCTTCTCCAAAAGCTGTCATGGTCATGTACACAGGAAAAAGTAGGACCATCGGTGCAGTACAAAGAATAAGACTTGCTTTTCCTGCGGTAAAATTTATTTCACTTAAGCATGTCTATGTTCATTGTTTCTATTTTATTTCATTCATTCTGCTAATATGTAATAGTTGGTGTGAGAATTATGCTTAGAGAAAAACCATAAAGTATTTAACAAAGTGTTTCCTATCCTATTCATTTGTTTATGTACGATAACTATCTTTGCACTTCAAAAGTACGCGTACATGGCTATATTGCAGTAACATCAATACTTTACTTTATAATTGGCAATTCAGTACTTGCTAATTAAATGTCTTCTTACAGGTTCCTATCTATGCCAGGGCTCAGGATGTTGCTCATCTGTTAGATCTAAAGAAAGCCGGTGCTACAGATGCTATTCTTGAAAATGCTGAGGTAGATTAAAGAAGTATTAATACTTTGTTCTTGGAAATGTTTTAAAGATCTTCTTGCATGCATCATCTAACACCAAGCTTTGGATTCAGCATCTTCTTACATTTTCCTGATGATACTCCGCTTAATGCAGACAAGTTTACAACTTGGCTCGAAGCTGCTGAGAGGGCTAGGTGTCATGTCTGATGATGTGACTTTCTTGAGACAACTCATGAGAGATTCGATGGAGCTACAAGCTCAAGAAGAGCTAAATAGAAGTGACGACCGTGAGTCTGATGTTATGAAGCCACTGCAGGTGATTGGATTACTGCTACACCTCTGTTATTATATCCTAAACTGTATTATTTCATGTGATAACACATTGTAACCAAACTACTTGCTAAAACAGGTTAGAGTGACTGACTTGGTTCAGGCCAAAAGCGGCAGTGCATCGACTTCACGCGGTGAGCAGTCACTCAGTCTTGATCGCCCAGAAATCACCCTAGTTGAATTTCCTGAGAAAAATCAACCATGTGAAGTTGAGACGCAAAATGATCAAGGTGGACATGATAGTTTGGAAAATGAATATGAAGAATTAGACCATGACGATGGAGTTAAATACTGCCAATTAGAATCAGATATTGGTTTATCGAGTATAAAGGATGATGTTGAAGGAGATGGGAAAACATTGGATCATTCTATCCCATATAAGTAACTCAGATGAGACATCTTAGTTTCTTATCAGGATAATCGAGTCTTGAAATGAGTCCTGGACAGGTACATTATTTTCTTTCAAGTATAGGATTTTTTTTTTTTTTCTGCTAGATCTAGTCCTCATTTATAATGTGTAAACAACTGACTTCAAAGCAAAGCCTAATTTATGTGGAGTTATATACCAAAAGGAACAGCTTGTCGAAGTATACTGTATAGGAAGATGATATCCAAATACCATCGGAGAGGTATTTCCAAATCATATATTCAATATCTTGTCATCGATTATATTCTGCATCTCTCAAAAACATGCGCATGCATCTCTAAGAGTTTAAATAGTACGTAAAAAAAAGCTCGGTTACTCAAATTATGGTCGCTTAATTAACCAAAAGCTCATTTCTTTATAATATTGTGGGTATAAAGAAAATTGTCATTGACTTCTGCTGTTCTCAGCTTATCCTATGGAGATTTGACTTCAAGTGAACATTCCCTTGTATTTTTATTATTACATCCAAATGGTGATCGATATATGTGGAGTTTTAGTTAGTTATACAGTCATAAATATTTTTAGTTGGTAGATCAATAATATCATAAAGTTAAGTTACCAATGAAGTTCTTTATCATTAGCCTCAGATTCGTGAGAACCCCAACTTGTCAAAAGAACTTTTGATGTCGGATGGAAGATTGGTGAACATCCTTCACGTATGTCACAGGGAATAAAGTCTACTTAATCATCACTTATAATAGTTACTTATAGCTAAATAAGTCAGGAAAATGTATAAATAAATAAACATTTATAATATTTTATATTATATTGTATTATATTTCTCTTCATAACGTGTGGCCTTCTCGTATTATTATTATATGGTGGATTACGTGTATTACACTTACCGGAGAGAAGGAAAAGGGCGAAGAGAAAAAAAAACAAAAAAAAAACGCGTATTACGAATACTGTGTTGCCGCTTCCCATCACGCCTTTCTCGTCCTTCGATGCAGCTTTAAATCGCGTGCAATTATCTGCCACTTGCTACCCAATCCTGCGCCGAAAGCCGAGCATAGCGATTCGCGCTTCCGTTGGTGGCGTGTGCGGCGGTGCTTCTCCGCGGACCAGTCCAAATCGCGAGTCTTGTCGCAGGAGACAGCCACCGCATCGCTCCGGCCGAACTACTTCCTACCACGACTCCGCGCCCGGTTCGAGGCACGAGCTCCGGACGCCGCAGACTCACCCTCCCGCCGTCGGACCTTGATTCGTAACTTAAGCCGCGCGGTGCATCGTCGCCGCCGGAGGCGTGGATAAGGACAACGGAAAGGCATCACTTCATTCGCCCCTAAATCTCCTTCGATCTTTGAAGAAGAAGCGGAGAAGACGATGAGACGTATGGCTGCATCAAGGAGGCAACTGCAGTGGGTGGCGAAGCGGATGGTGGCCGCAAGAAACATGCGTGCCGTGCCCCAGAAATCCCCTCCCTCCTCATCCGAGGAGCTCATGAGGTTGGAGGAGCAGTGCAGTGCGCACAAGTAAGCCGCTTTGAACCATTCGTCCCATGCGATGCCCCCTCCTGTCTTCATGAATCGCCTCTCCGTTGTCATTGTTTTGCTTTGTGGGTATCGGGCGCCTAGGATTGCTATACGAAGCAAGTGGCTGCCGCATTAGGCGTCTTTGATCAAGTTTTTTGGTCCCGCAATCAGCGATTGGAAGATGCACCCAATGGATTTTGCCTCCTGCAAGATAGATCAAGATCTAAGTTAGATGCTATATTCCATATGTGAGAAATTTGTTTGAAAGCTACATGAGTGTCAGTTATTATGTTTAGTACTTGAATCAGTCCAGGATCGGTTGATGAAGTACTTTGGTTTACCAAGAACCCAACTTGGTAGTTGTTCCTCTTGATCTGTTCGGCCTTTGTTTCTTTGGTTGGTCGAATCTGTAAAAAGCAAATCCCTGCACCTCTCTGCTTTGATCGTACTTTTGATGCTTACGATGTTTATGATGTTTCCTTTGCTGATAGATTTGGCAGATCAAGAAAATTTTCTGTTAACACAAGTGAGTCTTTGATGTATATGCAGCTACCATCCCATTCCTATGGTGTTTTCTCAAGCAAAAGGAACTTGTGTGTGGGACCCAGAAGGCAACAAGTATATTGATTTCTTATCTGCTTATTCTGCTGTTAATCAGGTCTGTGATGTTTGTAAAGACTGCTAGTTTCTAATGGAATTCATGACTTAGTGATCTGCCCTGTGTCCGCAAACTGTTCTTCCTGTTCATTTAATTCAACATAAATTTCTTGATTGAAACTGCTCCTTTTTTTTTTTTGTCATGTTGATTAATGACCTGAAATTTGATCCAGCATGGAAGTATCAGAGAAATCAATTTGGGTGGTTCTTGGTTCAGCTTAAGTTGTTTGTACTTTTGAATTTTAACATGGACTTCTCTAACTTTCTTCATCAGGGGCATTGCCATCCAAAAGTTGTGAAAGCTCTAATTGAACAGGCAGAAAGGCTTACTCTGAGCTCTAGAGCCTTCTATAATGATAAATTTCCAACTTTTGCGGAGCATCTTACACAGATGTTTGGATATGATATGACGTTGCCGATGAATACTGGTGCTGAGGGTGTGGAAACAGCATTGAAGTTGGCACGAAAATGGGGTTATGAGAAGAAGAAGATACCAAAAGATGAGGTGGAAAAAACTCCACACCATTTTTTCGGAATATTAGCTGTAGATTATTTTCTTCGTGCATGAACATAGATAATGCAGTAATGAACTTCTAGATGCATGAGCAGCACGTGACATTTTGTGTTATTATATATCCCAGCACTAAAAAATTTCAGTGACCACGTCAACTGTACTATACCTAATTTCATTGAGAGAAGCTTTAAGTGATGGAGTGGACATTTACAAGATGTTTATAATAATGTGATCTGAGTAGAGATTGATGATCCGAAGCAATGAAAATCTTTTGTACATGTATGTATCTTGATATTTGAGTTTGATGGCTCACTATATGCAAAGGATATAGCTCCTAGCCAGTGTTCTGAAGCTCTAGGTATTGTCTACATTCAGAAAAGTTTTTTGCATGACAATCTTCTATGGGATAAATTAAAATCTGGACATTTTAAGCAACTACTGCACATTTAGAATTGTAGATTTTGCCTACTCTAAAAAGTGAAAACTATGCCTTGTAAAGCTTTCTCTTTCCTCTCTGAATCTTGGTGATTAGTGATTAATAGGAGTTATTGAAATCGAGGTTAAAAGTTTCAGTGGTGTCAATCGGTATGGCCTGGTAATTACTGATATAATGGTCGATCGGTTTGTGAACCAGACAATTTTGCCTGGTCCAGTCGGAAAATGGTGCTTATCACCCAGTAAGCTCACTGTATTGGGCCCAGTAGGCGGTAAGGTAACTGAGCTACACTGCTTTGGTACTGGAATTGGATCTTTTTTTTTTATCTATAAAAATATGCGGTTGTTCTTTTCCACTCTTCTCTCTTCTGCTGCCTCCTCCTTTACCTACGCCTCCACTTCTCGGACCTGAAAATGATATGGAAATCCTTAGGTATAACATGTTTGTAAATAGACAATAACAATAACAAGGCCGTAAGTCTCAATTATCTTGGGTTGGTTACATGGATCTTTTGCCATAATTGAGATCCATAAAAAGCCATAACGATTTCTTGATGCAGAAATCTTGCCATTAGCTTTGTGTATGATATAGTCCTGGCCTAGATCGGCTTCTACAGTAACTGGGAGAGGATACCAGCGAGAGACAGATATAATCTTGAACATAATTACCTTTATGATTATTTTTATCAATGGATAAACGAAATTTGTACGGCATTTCGTGTACGTGGTCATGAACCACCTGTTACTACCTATGATTGCTTTTATCAATGGATACTTGAATGAAATTTGAATGGCATTTCATGTACATGATCATGAGCCATGAGGTACCACCTGTTATGACCTTTTTCTCAAAACATTTGTTGCTTCTGTTGGTATGATTATAACATGGAAAATGTTTTTAGGAATTTTCAGAGAAGATCTTTAGTCATTTCTTGGAGTTACTCTAGCTTGAAATTGTGAATCTCTGGTTATAAATTAATACTTGGGTTGAATAACCATTCTAAGAATTTGGTAACTTGCAGGCTCTCATTGTGTCTTGTTGTGGCTGTTTCCATGGTCGGACCTTGGGAGTAATATCTATGAGTTGTGACAATGATGCAACTCGTGGTTTTGGCCCCTTAGTTCCAGGCCATCTCAAAGTTGATTTTGGTGATGTTGATGCACTAGAGCAAATCTTCAGAGGTCTGTGAGTGGCAAGAAGCATTTCCATTTGTGTTGAGTTTCAGATATATTAATTTGCTAAAACTATCTATGTTTCAGATCATGGAGAACGAATATGTGCGTTTTTGTTCGAGCCTATTCAAGGAGAGGCAGGAGTATGTATGCTTAAGAGCATGTTGCTCTTTTTATTCCTATCGATAATTTTACTGCCATAATTTAATGGGAAACACTTGCTAACTGGTAATACTTGGAAGTAGATGTGGTGTTACTTCTTAAAAATTTTGAAATAATTTAATATAAATGATCGATTATCAATTAACTTGTTTCGATCTCGAACCATTATGTTTTCTAAGTCTGGAATTAATTTAATATAAATGATCTATTATCAATTTAATATATATGTTTTCTATGTCTCCTTCATGTTTATAACTATTCGATGCACTAATAATTTATTAGCTTACCGTTTTGCTATCAAATGTAAATTCTTTTACAGTATTTTGGGAACAATGTTATTTTGAACTTCAAAAGTTGCACTTTGCTTGCTGGGTTATGTTGGTGCATCAAAGAAATTTTTTTATTTCAGCTTTTGGAATGAGCAGTAAATTTGCTTCATGCTATTTCAACCTTTAGGTGAAACACTGTCGAAATGCTTCATAAATGACTGGACATTTTTTGACCTGGATCAAGCTTAAAATTGGAATGTTGTTCGAGAAATCTGGATTGTGGTCTTGTTGAGCTTTATACCTGTTTTATTCATAAACACTGTCCAAATATATATGCCTCCTCCAGAATGTCTTTATTAATATTTGACAAGCATTATAACTATTGTTTCTTTCATTTTTAATGGCTTTTGTTGTCATGTCGTGCATACTGTTTTGTTCGGTTAATCTTTTTGCACCTCATAATGTTTTGTTATTTTGGCCTCCTCATCTAGGTTATAATACCGCCAGATGGTTATTTAAAATCAGTCAGAGATCTATGTTCTAGGCACAACATTCTGATGATTGCTGATGAAATACAAACTGGCATAGCTCGCACTGGGAAAATGCTGGCATGCGAATGGGAAAATGTACGGCCTGATGTTGTGGTAAGGCCTAAATTTGTGTTCTATTTCTTTCAGGTGTTCCCAATATGAAAATTTTGAACTTTTGGTGTGAAAACATGTTAGATATCTTCGCTTTTTTTATTTTATTTTTATGTAACATGTCATTATCTTCTTCATTTTAATAGTTACTCCCTCTTCCTGTTTTGATAATTCTCATTGGAATATTGGCTTTTATTGAAACATTTTGAGTGCTCATAGTATTTCGACTGCTTTTGATATTGGTTTTCATGTGTACCAGATATTAGGAAAAGCCTTAGGAGCTGGAGTCATACCTGTCAGTGCAGTACTTGCTGACAAGGAAATCATGTTATGTATCAAGCCAGGAGAGCATGGAAGGTTAGTGCTTCATTACATGATCCTCATTCACATCAGAATCATAATCAGAATCCATTAACATTAGGATAGTAAAGGGAGAGCCAAATTCCTTGATATACTAGGTTTGTTAATGCAAGATCATGATCGAAATTTGGGATGGGTACAATAATGATATGTAATTTTATATTTATGATATTCTGATTTTAAATAACTTGTAAAAATATTATAAAATTGTTTAATGATAATGAGAATCTTATAAAATTATGACATATTAACTTAATGCACTAATATTTCTGAAGCAGAGGTAAATCGTATTTAGATATAAACGTTTATCATGTAATGTTAGTATATAAACAAAGATATTATGTCATTTTTAGAACTCCTTTGTTAGTTCTTTGGGAATGAAAGTTGAAATTCCAATCCACCGGGTAGAATTTTAATCCTACCAAAAGAGAGATTTGAAATTTCCCATGAATGAGAACAGCACAATCCTGTCCCCCCTCCAAACATTAGGAATTGGAAGCGCTCAGGACCAAACCCACCTTAACAGAATCATGCTTTTCATCACATTAAGCAGCCAAGAGGTATATAATCTCATATCATTTTTACCCGACCTTGTTTTGTTTTGCATGATTAATGGCAGTACCTTTGGAGGAAATCCTTTGGCAAGTGCAGTAGCAGTTGCTGCATTAGATGTTATCAGAGATGAAGGACTTACTGAAAGGTACTGCTTGTGCTTACTCAAGATTTTATATTCTTTATAAATTTCATTTTTGTCCTCCACCTATTATACTTTGACTGGAGATACCTTCCCAAGTGAAGTAGGTGTTGGAGGGAAGGGGAATGAGATCTGGCCAACCTCTCCTTTCCTTGACTGAGTCAGCTGTGGTAGGAAAGGCATCTTGGGCAGAGATTCCTTTCCAAGGAACAAATAGATAGGATGATGTATTAAAATACAGGTATAGGAACATATAGCATGATCAGATTATCATTAGAGCAGTTATACTGCTTGAGAGAAAACCTAGAGTTTTAAGATTCTTCAATGAGATATGATGATGTATTAAAATAATAAAAACACATAAGTTTGAGCTTAATTGCTTGTAATGTTTCTTTTGTGGTTTGTACTTTGTTTGACTGTCTTTGGATTATGTTTACTATATTGACTATTGAGCATAACTGGATATGATGAGCATGAATATCTTTTTCATTTGCTTTGCTGACCTGTAAACATGTAGATTCAATGTTATCTATTGACTGAAAATTATCTGATTAATAAAACCATGCCTCCTTTTCAAATAAGTAAAACATTTCTTTCAATAATCGTGCTAGTCTTTTTTCCTTCTTGACAAATATTCTACATCTGGGCTTTACACTTTTGAGTTACAAAGATATCGAAAAAAGGCTCAATGAACCTCATAGATGAATCCTAGTGCATATGATTATACTTGAACAACTGCTTTGCTTTGGAAGTACCTGCAACTAATTTCAAATATTACGTCTTCTGCTAGAGTGTTGAGTGCTTTTAATGAGGGGACCAGTCTTTATATCTTATTTCTCAGAGATAATTGATTTTACATTTTGAATGTTTATAGTTTGCAGCATCCTTTGTTCATATAGTGGTACGAGACTTTTGTAAAATTAGGATTCTTAAATCCTTAGTTGTAGTAACTCAAGCTTGTCGCTCGCCACTTCTCGATTAAACTACTGCCCTTTTCATTTTGTTAGTTCTGTAGATTAACAAAATTTTACATATGGAAAACTCGGTCATACTGATTCGCTTCAGTTTGGGCTTGCTGTTAATTCTGTAGATTAACAAAGTGTTACATATGGAAAACTTGGGCATACTGATTTGTTTCATATTTGGCTTGTTGTATTATGTCCAATAGACTTATCTAAGATTTTTCTGGGTAGGTAATTGATTTTACAGTTTGCAGCATCCTTTGGGCTTTGCTGTTAATTCTGTAGATTAACAAAGTCTTACATATGGAAAACTTGGACATACTGATTTGTTTCATTTTCAGCTTGTTGTATTATGTCCGATAGACTTATCTGAAACTTCCAAGTGAAAATATGACAATGTAAATCTGACTTTATTTTTCCACAGGGCTGCTAAATTGGGACAGGAACTCAGAGACCAATTAATGAAGATTCAGCAGCGATTCCCACACATAATAAAAGAGGTTCGAGGAAGAGGATTGCTCAATGCTGTAGACCTGAACAACAAAGCTCTATTTCCTGTTTCTGCATATGATTTATGTATTAAATTGAAGGAGAGGGGCATTCTTGCAAAACCAACCCATGATACCATTATTCGATTAGCTCCACCACTAACCATAAGGTAAGATTTTAATGATGATATCATTTTTCCTTTTCTTTAACATTGCAAAAGATGGGGCACCAGTGATCATGTAACAGAAATCCCCATGCTCCAACCTTAATTAGAATGCTCCAACCTTAATTAGACATGGCTGATCATTGTAATTCTTTTGTAGTATTCAAGTGAATGCATGCGATTTAAACACTGGATCATATGCTGATAAGGTTGAACACTTAAAATACTCTTGATGTATTTAAGTGAACCTCGAAATGAATGAGTTATCATCACTTATATGACTATATCAACTATCTGTCTTTAGTTGTACAGTCAGATCATCAACATTTATATTTAATTGTTGAATATGAGAGCTAACATATAGGAGGATAGGAGTTACGAATATGTCACCGGTCATTATAGTAGTTCTGGGCTTTGTGACCTCCCCCATGTGTTACCCTTTTTATCTTTTGGATCACTATCAGGCACTTTAAGATCTACATGGACTTCGAACTCATTCTTTGACCTCTGATAATCTTGAAATTCCACTTGTCTCCTCTACGTTGATCTTCGTTAGTTTTGTAGAAGAAGCTAATTAATAGTTGCATTTCTTAGGTTTTGACAAAGTCTTTTTTGTTTGCTGAGAGTAATGGCAGCTGCATACAGCTGTGGCAATATATGATGTATTATATTATTGATGAACACTGTTAGGCTCTTATATGGCAGGTTTCAATTGCTAGCAAGTTTTACTTAGATATTTGAATTAAGAAAAGATGACATCATTGTGGTGCAATGTGTGGATTTACTTCTAACATTATTTGGATTTAATCAGATAATGACACCTTTTCTTTTACACTAGCTAATCGTTGCAATGTATACTTATATGTCTTATTCAATTTGCACCTCTTGTTCCACTCATCCACCCTCTGCTTCCTTCATACTGAATGAGCTCTTTTGTCTGCTTAGTAAGCAATCATGGATGATCTTTCTAGATTGTGAATGGTAGATTATGCCAAATGTTTTTAAGTTCTCTTCATGTTGGTGAACCCGATTATGAGCAGTATCTCAAGGGTTAACTTTTAAATATTTCAGGGACTTAAAATTGAACTTTTGTTTGTCTATTTCTGATATCTGCATTTATTTCCTATCCAGCATGGAAGAGCTCAACGAAGCAACGAAGGCTTTCGGTGATGTTTTGGGGTTAGATTTACCCGAGATGCAGAAGCAAAAACCGAAAGCAGAGACACCAACACCCAAGCAAGTATGCGATAGATGCGGGCGTGATTTGTATGATCCGACCGACATGGAGAACTAATTTTTGCAATCAGATCGATCCCTCTTACTATTAGATGTACTCAAGTCTGCCATCACCCACCAAATCAAGAAATAATTTGGTATTGACTTATCCTTTTTAATCATCATCTTTGTTAAGCTTACATATACTTCTTAGTTGAGATGTCAATCTCTTGTTAAGGTACCCATCCCTTGGTTGGTGGTATGTTGGTGCCTGCAATCTTGTTTCTCATGTAATTAGGATTGGTGAACCAGCAGGACCATCTAACAAACATTTGTGGGTGGAAATCACTGGAATCTACTACTTAGTTGTTCTTAGTTCTTAGGTCATATACAGTATCCAATCACTGCAGTGGCTCAAATCTGGAAGATGGTGAGTGCTATTTATTCTTAAGCCATCTCTGCAATCATTCTTTGCCGAGGTTTTCCTGTATGAGCATTATATTAATTAATGTCTGTGCTTGGATTTGATTGGTAAGTATCAAACATAAGTCCATTGACAAAACTTGGATGTCGGATCAGATCGTGTCTGCTAATTAATGTATAGCAAATCTCTGTTGAATGAATAATAAATACCTTATCAAGTCATAAAAGAAGCATGCATCTATGAAACCTTCTTATCATAAACAAAAGGAACAGTTTTCCTCGATCCTAATTCGTGCGCGCTGACCTAACACAGCCCAATTAGAGTCGATTCAATGTGCAGACCGACCGACCGACCAAAAATGAGCAGATCACGCGCTTTCCGATCTTATTCATCAATAATGTAGAAAAATAAAATAAAGATTAAAAATCCACCAACTATTAAAAACATTAAATGTATAAATCGGATTAAAGAAATAGGAGAAAAGTATATTATATTTTCCTCTTTCCCTCTCTCGATAATTGATATTAATGGGAATAGAAATATAAAACAAGTCTCTTAGATTATTCATAATTCGGCTTCTCTCTCTCTCTCTCTCTCTCTCTTTCGTCTTCCTCTCCGTCTCTCTATCTCTGTCTCCCAAGACCCGATTCCTCACGTGCCCTCTTCTCCACCGCGCCGTAAAAGTCGCGAGTTCCACAGGTGAGTGGGCGAGGAGAGGAGTCCTCCTTCCGCTCTCTCCATTTCGATGCTGATCCCTACAATGGCGCCTTTTTAGGGTGGTAGGTGGGCGATTCATCCCGTTTCCACGCATTGGTCTGCGGCACATCTGTCGATCTGTGTCGATCCATCAGGTTGGGATCCGATGACGTCCCCTGGAGGCCTCGCGGAGGCGGAGGATCTTCGGCGCTGGCGCCGGCATCCGGCGGAGGCGGAGGACAATGAGGAGGAGGAGATCGACCACTTCGATCGGCTGCCGGACTCCGTGCTGCTCCTCGTATTCAACCGAGTCGGCGACGTCAAGGACTTGGGGCGGTGCTGCGTCGTCTGCAGCCGCTTTCACTCCCTCGTCCGCCTCGTGGACTCCGTCCTCGTCCGCGTCGATTGCGTCATCTCCGACGATCCCTCCCCCTCACCTGCCGGCGTCGCCGGCGGGGATAGTGCCCGGGGGGTCTTCTCCCACCTCGCCCGCATCGTCCTAGGCAGCATCGCCAGGCCCTTCCAGGCTCTCGGCCATATCCTCGCCCCCTCCGCTGGCGTCGCCTCCGACCGAAGGTCCTCACCCTCGTTGCTTTCCTCCTCCTCGTCGCCCTTGTCGGACTTCTCTCACCACTCCCCGGCGGAGGTCCTTAAGAACTTTAAGGAGATCCACGGCCTCCGGATCGAGCTCCCGGCCGGCGAACTCGGCGTCGACGACGGCGTTCTCCTGAAGTGGAAGGCCGAGTTCGGGTCGACCCTCGATAGCTGTCTCATCCTCAGCGCGTCCTCCGTACTCTCCTCGTCTTCCATTTCGCCCAAATCCTCAAGCCCCAATTCTAACCCTAGCTTCCAGGACGCTTGCGGGGGCGATGACGGCGGGAGCATCCCGGAGTCGTTCTACACCAACGGGAACTTGAAGCTTCGGGTGTTCTGGACGATCAGCTCCCTGATCGCCGCTTCCGCGCGACATTACCTCCTCCACCCAATCGTAGCCGATCATGAGACGCTGGAGAGCTTAGAGCTCACGGATGTGGATGGGCAGGGGGTGCTGACGATGGACCGGCGGCAGCTGCAAGAGTTCAGGGTGAAGCCAGTGTCGGCATCCGGGAGCTCACAGCGAACTCTGGTGCCAGCCCTCAGTATGCGGCTATGGTATGCACCCTACCTGGAGCTTCCTGGTGGAGCGGTGCTGAAGGGGGCGACGATGGTGGCTGTGCGGCCAAGTCAGGAGAGGTGGAGGGAGGTTGCCAGCAGTGGAGAATGGGGTGGCTCCTTAGGGCCGTTGGACAGGTGCTGGATTTCCGGTGCATTCGAAGAGCCATACAGGTCAGCTGCGGGGATGCTTGTGAAGGGGAGGACTTACTGTCTCGAGATGAATTCCTTCTGAGATTGGAAAAAAGGGAACCAAAGTCTATCTTTGGCAGGTAAAATTCCAAGTTTTGGTAGCTTATTATGCTTGTTTGAAGATATTGTCTTAAAGGAGTCGAGTTTCCATGTCAATTAGGTACAAAAGAGTTTTGGAGTAAGAATTTGTGGAAAGCTTACTGTAATATATGTTTTAATTATATTGTAAGGAATTCATTTGCTATGAAGTATCTGCTCAAAGCTCATGCTATTTGTGTGAAAAATATTAGATGGTCTTATAATTTACAAATTTTAAAATGTACTTGTACTTTTGCTCCGAGATGAACTATAGGATAGAAGATTTGTTTTAATTATATTGTAAGGAATTCATTTGCTATGAAGTATCTGCACAAATCTCATGCTATTTGTGTGAAAAATATTAGATGGTTTTATAGTTTACAAAATTTAAATTGTACTTGTACTTTTGCTCCGAGATGAACTATAGGACAGAAGTTATGTAGAATCGCCATGGTGTTTCATTGTTGAATTACTTCTTTTTATTTTTCTAAAGTACTAAATTTACAATAGTGTGTTTGAGATAAAGGTTATAACACTCATGATGTAGCCCCACCGCCCAGATAAGAAGGTTGATGAAGGCATGAATTGACCTACAAGATTTGATAAGTGTACTATCATCAACTTGCACTTAAGCATATTGAGATAGTATTTAAACTCAAAGAAGATTAATGGATTAATTATTCCATCGAGTCAGGTCATATGTATCAGAGCCGATCTAGGATGATAAACAATTTGAATAGAAACCGTAGGATTGGGCCTCACATGCCACATGTATCATGCTAAGGGATCTTAGGTTATGTTGATCTTTGACGAAGATGTCAAACGCTTAAGAGATTATAGTATCATAAATTTAGACCCACATTGGAAACGAGTAAAAACTTAAATTAATTTATAATGTCTGACATGATTTTACACTCAATAAAGATAATGGGGTAGTTATTCGATTCATGGCGAAACATTTGTTGTTCTCTCTTGAAGTTCTTCTGACATATCTCTGAAAGTGGTCTTATGATTTGTGGAAGATCAAATCGGTAACAATAATGCTACAACAGTTGAAGGTGATCTTTCCTTTTTTCTTTTTTGATACATCACTAATCCATTCAGTTCGATTAGATGAAAGCATAAAAATGAAGATCAGCTAATTCCATTATAAAGTAGATTGTTATGGTCTCTACTATAGATAATTGTGATTACGAGTATTTACCTAATGCGTATGTTGTCTTCAACTGAGTCATGGTGTTAAAAAAGTGCTCAAGGTCTCATTTGATGGAATCTTAAACCTATAAATGTGTTATCTGCATACAATCAAGTTAGATATTCTTGCCTCTATAATGCCACATGCTGTTTTATGGTTAAGCTTGTTCTAATGGTGATGATGACGATGACAAATGTGGTTGTGAACTTTGCTTGCTCGTTTCAGATATTGCTGCATGACCGATGGAGCATCTCATGCTTTTGTTGACATCTTTCTCGGATATGAAAAATGATGAATACTCCATGCCAATTCCCAATATGTTCTCAGACATTGTACTGAAAGTTTTCCATGTTAAGCAGAAGTGATTGACACATTCTTGTTGAAGTTTCAGGTTTTGTAGTGGAGATTTCATGAGTTGAAAATGAAAGATGAGTACTTATTGGCTTTGTGGTAATCAACTTGGCCAAATTATGGCAATCAATAACAATCTCCTGCGAGAGGAGCTATGGTATACTTCCAGTTCCAATGGTGAGCTCTGTGCTGCCGCTGCAACATTTGAATCGTAACATGTTTCCGTTGCCGAGCTCCCTCCCTGAGCAAATTTATGTGAAGTGATCAAGTCTGTCACTGTTGTTAACCTGTCTCCTAGCTTGTTGATATCGCAGCAGATTAATAATAAAAACATGTTTATTGATAATTCAGTATGTTTGAACTTGTAGCATCAGTTTTTCTGCTGCTAAACTTGTGTGCAATCCTTCTTCTGAATCTGCTCTTGGTTCTGTGACTTGTTTGCACATCTTATTCATTTCAGCAGGTCTCTTAAGTCTCTATCTATGCCTTGTTTGATGTCCATGTCACTGTGTCAAGCATTCAATAATTCTATGTTGCAAAAATTAAAATGATACCATAATTTATAATATTTTATGCTTGTTTATATCTTTTCTATATCTATTGTTGTGAGACTTCAAGATTTGGGATGGAGCATCTGAAAATTTCTTCTTCAAAATCCCATGCTCAGAATTCCCCCAAACCAAAATGCAAACAGGATGCCATTTATTTGACAAAGAATTCAGTGGTAATATGAGTTATGGAGAAGAAAGGAGAGTTTCAATGTATAACTAAAACATCAAATGCTATTTCTCAATTTATTTGCATTGTATTTTTGTTGATTATTCATGTATAATTTACACTCTCTAGAATGATAGATCGATGTTATAATATTACATGAACATATTTATTCTTTTGACCTTCCATGCCAAGCCATGTCAATAATTATGTCAGGAATATTCTCATCATGTTTTGCACAGAAAATAAAATCATTTATGTGCACCAATCCATTGCATTAAGATTGTCTTGAAATTGTACTTATAATGCTCGATAAAGATCATCAATTTTACCCATTATTTTTCTCATTAAGTGCGATAAGATATGAGAGAGAGAGAGAGAGAGAGAGATTTTTTTGGAGGGGCAGTGAATTCCTAAACTAATTAGACCTCCTTAATATCCCGATTTTTAGACTTAAAAGTTTTATATTGTAATCTCTATAATTATGAAAACTAATTAGACCTTTTTAATATCCTGATTTTTAGACTTAAAAATTTTATATTGTAATTTCTATAATTATGAAAATGAAACATCTAGTTCCATTTATCCTAACGTCATTAATTTTACTGACTAAAACATGAAAATAATGAGTAAAAAGATAATTTAATGCTTCAATTGGTGGTGGCAGATGATAGCGTCATAGGTGCCTGTTGTGAATAATGAGAGCGACGACAAGAGATGAGAAACACTTTGCATCTACATCAACGCCGATGCAGATGTAAAGCAGTGAACTAACACAATTGTTGAGCGGCTCTTTCGTCGCTTTGCATCTGCGTCGACACCATCTCTTTCCCATGATTGCCTCAAAATTCACTATGATCTCTTCCCTGGAGAGAGAAAGAGAAAGAGAGAGAGAGAGAGAGAGAGAGAGGGAGAGGGCAGTGAAACCTCAGTGTCTTCCTCCTCTTGGCTTGTTATTTGGACTGCCAATATCTTTTGTTGCTAATGTGGCTCGTCGAAGCAATAAGAGTTACTACCTTCGACCTTGTTGTCACCATGATCGTCTTCTCCAATAAGTCCACCTTCAGCATCCTCGTCCCCATCATAGCCTCCTACGACATCGTCATGGCCACGCAACAGGAGCCTCAACCTTGGCATTGTGCCCAACACCGTCATCCATTTATTTCTTGATTGTAGCGTAAAAGGATGGAAGGCAATGAAGGAGGGGCGGGCAAAAGTGCCACTCGAGCAAGAGGATAAGAAGGTCATGGAGGGCGCTTGGTTAATGACGTGCCTAAGATTGCGATGCCCAATTCCTTGACTTCCCCATGTTGATTTTGGTGGAGGTCATGCAAATATCAAGTGGCTCTTTCGCCACTTGGCAACTGTGTTGACGCATAGTACAAGGGCAACTCGCATAATCGTATTTGAAATCGACATGGGAAAGTCAAGGAAGCGAGCATCGTAGTCTTAGACACACCATCAATCGAGCGCCCTCCATGCCCTTCCTCCTCCTTGGGTGGCACTTCCACCCATTGCTTCTCTGTTGCCTTCCATCCTTTTACATTGTAATCAAGAAAAGAAATGGAAGGCAATACTAGGCACAACACCCAAGGTTGAGGCGTCTACTATGGTGGCCACGATGATGTCGCATAAGGCTATGGTGGGGATGAGGATGCCGATGGTGGACCCGATTGAGAAGATGATCATGATGAAAACAAGGTTAAAGGTAGCAACTCTCGTTGCTTCAACAAGTCATGTCAACAACAAAAGGTATCGACGATCCAAAGGACAAGTTGCGGAGTGAGCGACAAAGAGGAGGAACATGTTGAGGTTTTGGTCCTCTCTCTCTCTCTAGGGAAGAGATTATGATATATTTTGAAACGATCATATGAAAGAGATGACATCGATATCGATGCAAAATGACCCTCACCTCTTGTCATTGTTATCCTCATCCACAATAGCCCCCCACAGCCCCCAGCAACGCTACCATCTACTATCACCGACACCGTCCGACACCACTGAAGTATTAAAATTATATTTTTTTATTATTTTCATGCTTCCATCAGTAGAATCAACGACGTTATGATAAATGGAACTAGATGTTTCACTTTATAATTATAGCGATTCCAATGTAAATTTTTAAAATATAGGAACTGAGATGCTAAGGAGGTCTAACTATATGGGGGTAATATGAAATTTGTCTGTATTGTTTAAATCTCTCTTCGTCTATTGATCCAATGGCCCATAGTGTCTCCTACGATCTTGGAGACCGGGAGTTCTCGTCCGTCCGATCGACGTACTGTTGCCAATGGAGTGCAGCCACCACCGTTCATCTACCCGCGGAGGGGTCCAGGTGGCATCGGATGAATCGGGCGGCTACGATCGCTTCTCTGTTCACCTGACGCATACGAAGGCGGGGATTGTGCGTCAGTTTTGACGGTCCAGATCGCGAGGGCACCACGTTGGCGCACATCGCGTTTCTCGCTATAAAAGCGTCCGCGAGGGACGAAAGGTGCGACTTTTTTCTTTATTTTCCTTCTCCGTTTCAGAAAGAAGAGGAGAGAGGGGGAACGCGGGATGAGGGAAGAGGTCATAAGCTCGGGGACGGCGGACGCCGTCGCGCTCGCTAGGTCGTCTTCTCCTCCTCCCACTCCTGCTGCGAGGTAAGCTTCTCTTCTGCCACTCTCACCTTCTCGCTCTCTATCTCTAGGGTTTCGGTGCTCGATCTCGAGGGTTTTGTCATTGTCTTTGATTTGGTTTGATTTTTTCGACGACTCCCCGATTCGAAGCCCTAGGGCTCCTTTCGTGGCTAAATCCCCAAAATCTAGCTTCTTCTTCGTCTTCAAACCCTCGAATCGGGAGGAACTAGGTCAAAGCTTGCTCATTTTGAGTGTTGGACTGGTTAAAAGTGGATCAGAAATTGTGCAGGTGTTTTGGTTTTTGCAGTGAAAAGCTTCGGATTTTAGGTTTGTGTTATAAATTCCTGGTGATCGCTAATGAATGTGATTTGAGCTGCTAGTGTAGTTATTACTGAAGTAGCTTTTATTTCGAGGACAATACTGAAAGGTATTACTGTAGTTAGGACATTGAATGTCTAATTAGGAATCTTTCTCTAATATTTGCTCATTCTGATTCTTATCTGTTCTCTAGAGCTGCTAGATAAATATGTGGCCTGCAAATTTTTTAGGGAGAGCTCTATAGAAGCAGAAATGAGAAATCTTATAGAGCTAACTTGTTAATGATCCCTGTATTACTGTTTTAGGCAATAATTCTTTAAGCTAGAGAAATAGTCAAACACTTTGGTTCTTTTAGAGTTTGAGACAAGTAACATTGGTTTGTTTATGCTAGAAGGAAATCTATCAACACAAGGTTCATATTATGCTTTATGTAATGGTACTCTAGTCACTCTCTCACCCATTCCCAAGTGTTTAATACCATCCTAATATGTTTGGAATTATAAAAACTTACCATATATGCTATGGTGTATTTGGTTGTTTATGAATATTTTTGGTTATTTAATTCTAACAGATGGCAGATTGGTGTTATCTCTTCACTGTGAATATCTGCCCTATCAGACATTTTTTTTTTAGATCTCAAGGGAATTATAGATTCTATAGCTTTACTGGATCTGAACTATGTTAACACTTCTGTTTACATTGCTTCACTTATTTTTCTTCTTGATACATAATTATCCACATTTAATGGATAGTTCACACTTCACAGGGAATACAACACTTATTACTTAAAGATCATCAGATTCTATTTCCATCAGAAACATTGTTGTGAAAGAACCGTGTGCTTAAGATTGTTAAAGACAACTTCTTTATTTTTAAAGTGTTTCATATTACTATTCAATTGAGCTGTAGTGTCTTTCTTCTCAAGAATAATGTCATTTATTTTAGTTCTGCTGGGGCATCCTCACCAGCTGCTCCAACAAATGCAACCAGTATAGATTGGCTTGGTAGTGGTCAGGGTTCCAAAGTGGGGTCTCTATCTTGTATTGATCCACAGCCACCTCGGACTTCATTGAGCACAAATGCTGGTGGCTCTGTTTTGGGATCCTCAGAACCTCAATGTCGACCCTGGGAACGGGGGGATCTGCTTCAGCGACTCAGCACATTCAAGCCTTCAAATTGGTTTGCAAAACCAAAAGTTAGTGATCAAGCCTCTTCATATCTTTTGACTGGGTTTTCATTGAATCATTGAGATTTCTGCTGATAAAAATAATAACACATATTATCTTATTCTTCATCATATAATACCAATGAGAATATATATCTTTTCCATTGACATTCGGTATATCATCAAGATCATGTTTCCCTGCTTGATGTTGATTAAGTAAACAAGCTTCTTTTGCCAAATGCAAGTAGTATTTTTGGTTGATGTGGTTATATATAACTAGGTGTGAGCTGGCAGTTTCATGGAAACAATGTCATGAAGTGAGGCCTATAACAGTTGGAACTTGCAGCAAAAGAAAACATGCTAAGAGAAAAGAGGAAAGTGATAACATAAACACTAGAAGTCAACACTTGTATCTTATGTCCACCCTGAGCTATAGATGAATACCAATCTTCTGTTACTCCATCTGGTTATGGAATGCATGTTTGTTTCCTCTTTTATGTTCAATGAAAGGGTAATAACTACTACTATAATTTGAACTATTTAACCCAGAATTTTCCCTTCTAAGTCTCTTAGTCTCTTGTTTGTACTCTATATCTCATTTTCTTCCCATTTTGAAATGTCTGAGTCCAGAATGCTTAAGGCAACTAGAGTCATGGTATACTTTTACTTAATGTTGTGTTTCCATTTGTTCATATAAGTGTAAGATGTCTCTGCATAATAAATATGCTGTGCACGCATTAACATGTATTCTTACAAGAGTTACTATGAGTTGGTCATTGTCCTGTCATTTCAGCGCCATGAACCAATGTCTCTATGCACTTACCCTTCTAAGATTCCTGCTAGGGAATGTTGCTTTCTCATTTACAAAGAAAATTATACCTTTCCTTGTTCTTTTGGTTTGAGTGCATTATGAATGCTAAATCTGCAGGGAGCAGGTTCACTATCCTGTGCTCGCAGGGGGTGGATTAATATCGATACAGATATTATTGAATGCGAGTCATGTGGTGCTCAACTCACTTTTACTATATCAGCATCTTGGAGTCCCACTGAAGGTATTATCAGACATTACTTGCATTTGCATCATTATCTACTAATCTCAGCAACCTACCTTCATTTTATCTCATTATTTAATTATGCAATATTTATATTTATAAAATTGGAAACTCTAGCAAATTGATTAATTATGACATTTTTCCTATTTTTTTTGTCAAGATGATGTAATGTTCACATATTTTGTGTTCTTTAATAGTTGATCGTGCTGTGGAAGCATTTACGGATCAGCTTGATGCTGGCCACAAAGTTAATTGTTCTTGGAGAGGAAACTGCTGTGCTGACAGCTTGGTTCAGTTCCCTCCTACCCCTCCATTAGCACTTATTGGTGGCTACAAGGACCGCTGTGATGGCCTTTTGCAATTCCCTTCACTTCCAATGATAGCTTCATCTGCAATTGAGACTATGAGACTCACAAGGAGTGCTCAGATTGACCGCTTTCTATCACAGCCAAGTGCTTTTTTTTCTGGGGAGCTAGGCTGTAAAGCAGACAGCACGCCTGGAAAAAGAATATCTCGAGATCCTCCCTTTTGTGACTATTCTCATGTATGTTGTTGCTATTCCTTCATATCTTCATTGGTTGATTATGCACTTGTTACTTCTCTTTAGTTTGCTTTTTTCTTGTAATCTTGTCCAGGCACAGAAATTTATAAGCCTTTGTGGATGGGAGCCAAGATGGCTACCAAATATTCAAGATTGTGAAGAAAATTCTGCTGAGTCTGCTAAAAATGCGTGCTCAGTTGATCATACTAAAGATGAATATGATCATTCAGACTTTCATGTCCTTAGTAAGAATCAATTGTCCACCTCTAGAAAACAAGACAAAGGAAAGGGGAAAGCACCCATTAAAGAACTGAAGTACAATACAAGGTCACCTTTACTTGATTGCAGCTTATGTGGAGCCACTGTCAGAATCTGGGATTTCCGCACAGTGCCTCGTCCTGCTCGTTTTGGTCCCAACACAACTGATACTCCTGATGCTGGAAAAAAGTTGGCACTGACGCGTGGAGTAAGTGCGGCCAGTGGTATCAATGGTTGGGTTGCTGCCGAGACAATGGCAAAGGAACAGATTGACGAAGCAGCTGCAACAGCGGATGATGGTAAATCACCATCAAATGCTGGTGTAGATTTGAATCTTACAATGGCAGGAGGACTACCATCCAATCATTCTGGCATGCCAGCACTGTCTGAGCATTTTGAAGATGGTGGAATGGGAAGGGATCTGATAATTGGCCAGCCTGCTGGAAGTGAGGTTGGTGACCGGGCAGCTTCCTATGAGTCACGGGGTCCAAGCACAAGGAAGCGTAGCGTGGAAGATGGTGGGAGCACAGTTGACAGACCACAGCATAGGATTCTGCGTGCTGACAGCATAGAAGGAACTGTCATTGACCGTGATGGTGATGAAGTTGATGACGGCACGCAGGATTCAGATGGCCCTAACAAACGTGCTCGTGGCTTTGATATCTTTGATTCATATCATCCACCATCCAGGATAGGTTCATCTGGTGCTGGGCCGAGTCGTAATCTATGCTTTGATATCGACATAGATGCGAACAGAGTCGAGTCCTATAAAGAAGAGAGTGATATGGCTATTGGCTTCCCATCACATAGAGATTCTGCTCGGGCATCCTCTGTTATTGCTATGGACACAATCTGTAGTGGTGAGGAAGATTCAATGGAAAGTGTTGAAAATTACCCAGGAGATGTTGCTGATGTTCGATATCCTTCTCCTATCATGCATAGGAATCTTGACATGAATGATACTTGGGGTTCAAACTATAGCAATCAAGTACAGCAAAACACATATAATCAACCTGCTGCTGCAAGTGTTGCCAGGGAAGTTGGAGGCAGCAGTACAATTGAGGGGGAAGAAATTGTAAATGCAGAAACTGTCACAGCTCATGCAAGGGATAGGTTCAGTTTAGGAATTAGTGGAGGTAGCGTTGGTATGGGTGCAAGTCATGAGGCTGAAATTCATGGGGTTGATGTATCTGTGCATAGAACGAATAGCATTGTAGGTGATGCAGAACCAGTTGCTGAAGTCACTGAGAATCTAGGGCAAACTGGTGAATCAGCCCCAGGACCAGCACTAGTGGATGAATTTGTTCCAGAAGCTGTTATGAGAGAGGATCCTCATGGTGATAGTCAAGAGATGATGTCTCGATCAGTTGGAAGAGCTGATAGTGGTTCCAAGGTCTATGGTTCAACCAAAGCTGACTCTGTGGAAAGTGGGGAGAAGGTTAGTCACACCCTGGGTCCTGATAGCAGTGCACATCCTTCACTTTCTTGCAACGCTATGATTTACTCAGGTTATGAGGTATCCAAGGAAGAGGTAACACAGACTGGCAATGCATCAATCACCGATGATTATGCACTCATGGTGTCAAGCCATCTTCCTAGAAATGGGATAGGTACTTTATTTTATCATTCCTTTACTGCATCTCGTGTTTAACTATTACCAAAAAGCCTACTTCTGCAATTTAGTTTAAAGATTTACTTGGAATTTAATATTGAGTTTTAGGAGTTCTTTCTATGGTTAAATTTATAAAATATAAGCTACAAGTTCTCTTAAGTTGTTATAGTTGTGTTGCAACTTGCAGTGCCAGTATTTGTTTTTTTCATACTTCATGCCATGATTTTGTGCATACATAAAATGCTTTTTCTTCTTTCTCCCTGTCAAAGATATGCTGATGTTTGTATTAGGCATGGTTCATAATAGCCACCACTCATCGGTACATTTAGTTCTTAATTGTTTGATCCATGATCGGGACTCTGGATCATAGAATTTCTCTTTGGTTGAGGATAGATTTTACAACTTGAGACATAAACCTTATCTTATGGTTTGGTCGAAATTTGACCGATAGACACAAATGTATTGGGTGGTAGGTATCACAGGGTACCTATACCATGTTTTTTGTTTTTTGATGGCTGTCACTCACAACCCATTCGTATTGACACTAGATTGATATTGTAAAACTTAGCAAGGTTTAAAATTTCGTATCGTATCGGTGTATCGAGTTTTGTTTGGTATGGTGCGGTACATTGTACCGAGCGGTATGCCAGGACGTACCAAGCAGTATGTCTAAAAATATATATATAATTAATATATAAAAATATAAAAAAATATATTTTTATGTAAAAAATATAAAAATCAATATATAAAATATAAAAAAGAATATAAAGATATTAAAAAAATGTGTATGTAGCCTCGGCAACAACTCAAAATATGACTATAAACACAATCCAAAAAGAGGAACTAAAGCCGTGTTCAAAATTTTATCTGAAAACTCATGTTTTAACTAAAGAAGACTCGGCCTAACTAGACCCATATGAGAGTATAATATAATACTTCATGGGTTACATATTGTATTTTTTCGGGGAAATCATTCGAAGAGTGGTACTAAGAGGTGTTAAAGTTTTCTTGTTATATTCTAGAGGTAAAATCTTTTGCTGAAACTTTGAAAATCTGTTTCTCCAGATATTTTTGTTTTTTCCTATCTATCAAACATTAGACAGGAGTCTCCCCAAGATAAAACAGGTTTTAGTGAAAGCTTCCATGCTATATTAAGCGCATCCTTAGCCACAATTTGTTCCGTTACTATGTGCTTGTGCAATCTTTGGTTAATGATCTTTTGTCTTCATTATGTTTTATGGAGCTTTCCTGTAATACTGGATGCAAAATTTGGTATTTGCTTTATGAACAGTGAATGGGGAAAATGAATATGAGGTGGAAACTGGAGAGTTTGATCCGATTAAACACCATAACCGTTATTGCCCATGGGTTAATGGAAATGTAGCTGCTGCTGGTTGTAACAGCGATAGTGGTTCCAGCTCAAGCAATTCAGAAGTTCATTGTGGTTGGGAACTTACCCTGGATGCCCTGGATAGCTTTCAATCCCTTGGTCATGTTCCGAATCAAATGATGCAGTCTGAATCTGCAGCTTCTCTATACAAGGTGAATTCATCAGTTTCAATTAATTTTTCGTACTTTCAGAACTTTCATAGTTCTTATTTCCTGTCATGTTCTTCTTTCAGTATGAACATAGGAAGAGTCTTACCTGTTTTTTCTTGAGTGTGGCATGATACTGATGTGAATGCTTAATATCAATCTGTCACACCCACAGAAATGCATAGCAGGGCCATGTTGACATGACAAATTTGAACTGGTTTTGGTCTAAACAAGGATGGTCATCTAAAGCTATCTTTTTAAATCTCCCATTTTGGGAGGGAGGAGTTTTTCTTTTGACAAGTTTACTATTACAGACATTGTCTTCGACTTATAACACTTCATTTCAGCCTTTATTTCTCATAGATGTAGAATTGCTCCAAATGTCTGCACAAATATTAATAGCTAGAATAAATTGTGAGATGTTTCCTGATCTTGTGTTTTTAGGTCAAAGTTGTTCAAATGCCTGTGGTTATTTTAGGCAGGAAACCCTTAAAAGTCTAAATGTATAGGCGGATGCCTAGAAGAATTTCTTAAGGTACTATCAAGCTAATATTGTTGAATAATAAATATGTATAGAGATGCATGATGGTTGGCCAGTGCTTAAAAATGAATTGTGCAGAATAGAGAAGATCTGGCAATATATTCAAGTTTATTGCACAAGGATAACAAATAGATATTTTCAATTGTATTATATTTAAAGGAACTAGTTGGAAATGTCTAAGCAAACACCCTAAGGTTGTTTTGTAGTTTTCTGGTACGACTCTTATTTGTCATTATTTTGGACATGATCTTTGATATTGTTGTTTAGGTTCTTTATTGGTAAAAGGTTCTTAATATATGTTCTCCTATTGGTTATCAACCCTTTGATGTTCTCCGTATGTACAGGATGACCATGTGACTCCTACACAGAAACTCTTGACTCGTCATTCTGCAAGTAAGAGGCAGGGAAAACATTGATCCGTTTGTCGCAATTTCCTTGGTACGCATATGTTAATTTAATTCAACTACTTGCGCTATTGATGTCAATACTTAAAGGAAAAGGTTGCTTCCTGGTTCTTAGGATCTGCGACAGGGAGTCATCTTGTTCCTGGTTTGTACCAAAGTCTTCTTTGACCATAGCTGCTAAATGGAATTCTTGGTTCCATCATGCAGTAAACGCAGCTGGCACTGCAACTTCTTTCCAGCATATGCATGACTTATCTGCTGTGCATTGTATTCTACTCTGACCTTTAAGAAATCTATGGTTCAACACTGACTGCCTACCCTAATGAAAATTTTTCCAGGTCATCCTCAGCAGGCAGGGTATCAATCAGTCGCTGCGACCAGACATGATAAGGACTTTGTTCATGAACTTTCTTAGAACCGAACCGAACTGAACTGAACTCTTTAAGGTGCTCTTTGGCAGAACCTAAGTTGCTTTCCGAAAACATTTAGACTTGTGCTTCTATCATGTTTACGGACATATATGCCTCTGATTGTTTTATGCGCCGGCGTTGAATGACTTGCACTGTATTCCTAAGTTAGATATATTTTCAAGAACCTAATGGAGCTACCTAGATTAGAGACCTGCACTGAAGGCTTGCTCTGTATTCATAGAACTTCAATAACTTATTGAGTTGTTCAATTTTTCTTTCTTTTTTTTTTTGTCTCTTTCTTTTTGGTGCCAGCTGACACTCGAACGCCGGAGGAAGTACGGAAAGCTGATAGTTACCAAGGTATGATCGATTTCTAAATGGAAGATTTTTCAGCATGATCATCATATCCTTTATTATTTTTATTATTTCATACCTAGGGATCTTCTTCGATTGAACAATTCGTTTGAAAGAAAGGAAAGTAAGCAAGCAATCCGTTCGGATGTGTGCATATATAGAATAGACTGGCCTTGGAGATCGAGCGAATCAGTGTAGGGGCCCCACTTCGTGACGTGTGAATTAGAGTAGTGATTTAAGCATAAGGCAACCCAAGTAGGCAAAGTCGATGGCCCCCCTATAGTAGCACTCGCACACGAAGGACGGGAGGCTCGAGGGATTGACCAACCGGGTTGGGTTTATCTATCGGGTTCGGACGGCGAGTGTGAGGAATAAATTCTTATACTTGTGTAGGCGACGTATTCGCCATTATAATCTTTAATATTACAAAAAATGTATGAAAATAAAATTATTTATTTTATTTTTAATAAGCTTTATATAGATAGAGAATCATTGAAAGCATATAGGGCAAGTAATCGTTCCAATATTTCCTTGTGCATATAAATGTACAACATCATGCAAATGAATTAATCAAGCCTTTCTTCCTATATCTCTTTTATGGCATCAATAGGGCTCCTATTGGTTCCGGTATAGGCCTCTGGTTATTGTTTCATCTCGAAATAATAATTTTCGACAATCTATTGAACTCATATCTATTGATGCATCTACACTAATTCTTTTCAAGTCATCAAAAATGATAATTATGTATTTTTATAATCACAATTCACGTCTTCTATTTGAATATGATATATTACGTTACATCGATGGATTCTTTTGTTGGCAAATCATGATCACAAACTATAGCTATATCAAAATCATCTCATTCACAAGCTCTAATTTTCTCATCTGATATCGTAGTATAAGTATGATTCAAGTTTCAAACCACCTTCATCGATTGCTCCTGCTCACATATGATGGAAACAATGCAAGAGGAAACCACCATTGTTGATTATGTATAAACTCAAAAAAGTCATTATAGATTATTTAACTTTTGATAGGTCATCCCTTAAGCGACGGAGAAATCATCATTTTTATGCTTACAATGACTTAAGAAATGAATATAATAAGCAAACAAAAACAAGCTACAATCCAAGTAGGGAGCTCACCAATGTTATTCGAAAAATTGTATGATAAACTATTTGATTATAAAGTATATATAAAATGATAAGAAAAAGTATATATAAAATGATAGAAAAAGAAGACAAGACTAACAATCACAATCCTGTTCAACCAAGGCAAAAAGAACTTTAACAAATGGTCAAGCAAGGTATCTCAAACTTAAAAAATCTATCCGTTTAAGTCAACTATAATAGCAAAATACCCATCACTTACATTGGTTTCACAATATTTAATTTCACACACGATCATCTCTTAACTCAATAATATTTTGTGTGCACCACATCTGAAAAAAAAAATATAAAAATCTCTATCTCCTAATTTTATAAATAAAATAATACTTTTATTGAGTTCTTTCTTAACTCGTTTCTTACGAAGAATCTAAGCACAAGAGCAATTTTGGTTTAAGGTGATATCAACTATGAGTGACGCTTGCTATCAACTTCATAAATTATCTAACCAATTATCTTTGTTTCAATTGGTGTCACAATTGATGTATGATATCATCTTCTTAGCCATCCATCATTCTTTATTTAACAACAATTAATCTCTTGTTACTCTCTTTTCTTTGAGTTTCAAAATTGATAAAAGTTGCTTATTATGACTCATGCCTTAGTAATAAAAGTTACCTATTATTTTTCTCGAAATGTTTTCTATATTTTGCTCCAAATCACTTGAAGTTATTTACATTATTGTTTAAAGTCCTACCCCAATAATTTTCTTCGATAATTTTAGATCTTATGTTATTTTCATAGATTATTTCACCGAATAAATATGACTTTATCCTTTCAAACATAAATTTAAAATTATCTTAGTCTAATAGAGAAGGTGAATACTAAACCTTAACATGTTACCTTTCAATTTATAATATATAATATCTCAAATCATTATCACACATAGTAACTTATTGGCTCCATAAAATAAGAACATCCACATGTTTTGATCAATAAATTTTTTAACTTTTGTCTACCTCATCAATCACACCCCCACCCTAAACCTACAACTCCAATCACTATTCAAATGACTATTTCACAAACTTTATAACTTTCATAAACTAAAAGTATTTGGTTGTTTATAGTATCCATGACTTCATCCCTGCATCTTAGATAATTTAAAATGAAAATTGAGACCACGTGTTTTCATCAAGTACTCTATCGAATATCATGTCTTTTGATACTTTGATCCTTAAACTAATACCATCTTTATATCATACCATGACATGTTCATTGAATCCATATTTCCTTTCCAAAATCTTGCTCAAATAATGAGAGCTACTACCGCATCCATCCATCATTAGGTTTATAGAAGTACACACCAAACTCCCTCAAGACTATATCCTATCACTCTATGTTCCGTATCCTAATCACAAGCCCTCTTCTAGATCCCTACTCCCTTACTATTTATGCTCCATATTATCATACCTCTTCACCATATCACTATGTATCACCAACTATAGTTATGCTCTCAAAACAACAAGAGATGCCTTTGTATTCTCCTCGGTCAAGTGATATCACCGTGCATCAACCCGCTTGATCATATGCATGTTACTAACACATCACCAACTCTCATACCACAAATACAACTTAATCATATCATTGGACCAAACATCATATGATAACACACTCTAAAAATAGCATTTTCAAACCACATAAGATCCTTGATCTCCGTACTACCATAATATCTTCGCTCGAGCCTACCAAACCCACAAGCATTACCCAAGCAAAAAAATCACTCAACGACGTCAAGCCGCCTGTGAGGAATATAATATGTTATTTCGTAATAATGTATATACCCTTGTGTTATCAAACCTTATATAAAATATCATTAAATGTAAATAAACCTATCAAATCAAGAAGAACCTAGATTGATCCATTGTCAAATACAAGCATGCATAATATCTCAAGTGTTTCACCAATGATCGAGCATTGATTTTACATATAGCTTTAGTCCTGTTGTCAAATTGATGATAATTCAATTTATCATAAGTTTAGTTTTCGTTGACATTTAGGACAGTTAGATGTTAAAAATATTTTTTTACAAAGGACCTTGACTGATAATGTTTTTATATAATAATCATTTGGCTTTATTTATCCTTAACATCTCAAATATATATGCAAACGTTGGAAAGTTCTAAGAGCCTGATACAATGAACTTGGCTTATTCCTAATATTTATCAGCTTTATCAATTCTAAATCTAATAGCTACTTATTTATGTGGTGACAAGAGGGACAAATCATATACTTACTAGTTTACAAGGATGACAATTATAATTATTAACTTCCATTTGTTAGAGATCAAGTTACCAATTATACTTCTAATCAACATGCAGACTCTATCACAAATTCGCTTGCTCATACGGGTATTCCACATGCATCCCTCCAATATTGACATCTATAATAGAAGCTTAATCTTTTAGGGGAATGATAGCAAATCATTGGCGGATAGGAAATCATTGAAAATAGTAAATCTAGTGAGAAATGATTAATCTTGATATATTGTAACATCAATCCATGGTTCAAAGTGCAATTTCATTGATTCATGAATACGATCGTCTCATTGATTTATGAATACGATCGATGGATAATCGATCCTTCCTTAATGTATATATATAATACCACATAGAAATAAATCAATAAAATCTTTTATCCATTCATTCTTAATATTTTTTAAAATACATTAAAAGATGAATTCTTAAAAAAACTCCTAACTTTAAGATTTTTCACAAAAACACCTAAATTTTAAAAAATTCTCGTAGAACGTCTCTTTTTTCATAAATGATCATTTTGCCTCAGCCCTTGTCGAACCTGTCGTTACCTTTACCCTACACTATCGTCTTGAACCACCCTTGCCTTGCTCGCTTATAGCCCCCGTGTGAGGGAGGAGGGGGAGTGAGAGTCGTTGTTGCCTTCGTTGGCCTTGTCAACCACGATGACTCTTGTGCTCCCTCTTGCATGAGTGCTAAGCGAGGGGCTAGGTGCGTGGGGGTTTGGTGGTGGCTACCCCACGTTGGATAAACAGGGGCAATTAAGCTTAGGTTTAGGGTTGGTAGCGATAATGAAGGTTGCATATAGTGGGCCCTCACACAAGGGCTAGTGATAATGACAACGGTGGCTCTCACACCCCTTCCTTGCACAAGATGTGCAAGGGCATTGTCAATGGGGTTAGGAAAGACAACAACGACTCATATGAGGGTTACGGGTGATAGTGCAAGGTGGAGATGGAGATAGGGGTAAAATAGTCTTTTTATATGACAAAGGGTATTATGTGGGAGAGTATATATATATATATGTATATATATATATATATGTATATATATATATATATATGTATATATATATATATATATATATATATATATATATATATATAGAGGTCGGTAGGTATACGTGCATGAGCGTCTCTCCTCTCATCGCTTCCCCGAATAAAAATAACGGTCCTATCGCCGTTTACCTTCCCTTGACCTTTACTCTCCTTGCGCCCCCTCTTCTTTTCGTCTTTCCCCCAGAGAAAGAATGGGATCTCCGGACGGCTCCGAGAACGGAAGCTTTCGCGAAAAGGGGGGCGAGGGATCCATTGTCATCAATGGCGGTCGCTCTTCTTCTCTAATCTTTCTCGGCACCGGATGCTCGAGCTGTGTCCCCAACGCCAGGTGCCTGATCCAGCCCACCGATCCTCCCTGTGCCGTCTGCACCCAGTCCCTCTCCGTTCCCCCCGAGCGCAACCCTAACTACAGGTGGAGCCTCATTCCTGTTCCTCTGTCTCAGTCAGATCTTGCCGATTCTTCCTAGGTTTCGGCCCTCCCTTTGTCGCAACATCCTTGATTCGTAACCTTCCTGATGCTTGGTGCTTGTCTTATTTTTCCCTGAATGTAGGGATATGCCATAAATTTTCTTGAATAACTGGTAGATGTTTTGATTGCTAGATGTGGTTTAGTTAGTTTCCAAGAAATTAGTGGACCATTCGAGGCAAACATTCGACAATCGTTGCGACGTCGGGTGTCGTAGAAAGGGCCTGAATAGAAGCCCACACATAGACTAGAAGAGGAAGGTAGACAATCACACCATGCAACGCACACGGATTTGCACTGGTTTGTCAGTTGACCCGTGTTCCACTAGCGATGATGAGGAGCAGCTTCCACCCTGAAGGGATAACGCACAGAAATGATGTGATCAACCCCATTACAAGAGAGACTCACCAACAACTCTGAAAAATTGAAGGCAGATAGAGAGGCTCCATCTTTAGTACTCTTGCGCCAACAATGGGAGGGCATGACTGAACTTGCTTCAAGATTTTTTTTCATACTCTTGACATTTCTAAATTATCAGTCTGAAACATGGAGCAATGGATACTACCACATATTAAGATTTGGATGGTGAGAAAGTTGTTCTGGAGTTGATGGTAGTTTTGTCCCTAGATATTTCACCAAATTTTCAACCGTGGCTTTGCTTTGTGTTATTATCATTTTTTATCCATGTTAAATTTCTTCAAATTGCTTCAAGGAATCTTAAATTGCTTCACAAAGACAGAGTATGTAGTTCAAGCAGTGGGTGCAGGATGTAAATGGTAAAACATGGGGATTTGCTTAAACTTATTAACCACTTTGGTGTAACCATTAGTGGAGTGCATGAAGCATGGGTTTTTTATGTGTATTACTGTTAAAGTCCTAATTAGGCTGGGAATGTGAAATCGAGATCTATAATTGGTCTTAAGATACTGTTGAAGAAGGCAACTTCAAAGTATCTGATCAGTAAACAAGCAAGAAACCAGTTTGCCTTTCATCAGTGTCTTGGATGCTCCTGGATCTGGTTTAATTATGCTAAACTAGTTCATCTTGAACTACAACACATGTTTTTAGTACAGTTAATGCAAGTGCAGGCTAAGCTTTTGACTTCAATGGTCCCCATTATTAATTTTTGCATGTTGAAAATTGTTACGGATTAAAGTGTGATTGAAGTAGTAAATATTTAAATAGATATTTTCTGTTTTTTCTGTCTAGATATGGATGACTAGAAAAAAGATCGAGTACATGGATCGATCTGTTTGTGAACTGAATTTAAATCCTGTAAACACCCCATAGTATTTTTACTCAGTTGCTAATTTTTCTTCGTCAATTTTTACAGATGCAACACTTCGCTTTTGATTGATTATTGCCAGGATGATGGTGTCCACAAATATATCTTGATTGATGTTGGAAAGACCTTTAGAGAGCAAGTTTTGCGGTGGTTCATCCATCACAAGGTTCCTCAAGTAGATTCTGTGAGTATTGTGTGATGTGAATTCTTCAGCCTTGCAAATTTGTCTTGTTTCTTATTCATGTGGATGAAGTACATACCAATTATCGTTTCAAGCTATTCATGATGTACTCATATTTCAGGATTTTGAGTGTATTGTGGATAGTGTAAATGGATCATTCGAGCAACTCTGTGTGCTATTTTTTGTATATGATCATTGAAAAGTTTCTGTTCTGCAGATAGTTTTGACTCATGAACATGCGGATGCAGTTCTTGGTCTTGATGATATTCGGGTGGTACAACCATTCAGTGCTACAAATGATATTGCTCCAACTCCAGTTTATCTTTCTCAGTATGCAATGGACAGGTGCTTTATGCTTGTGAAATTCTTGTTAGTCCTTTATAAGTCCTCGTATCATGATTTTTCATGCTGTAACATTGTACAACTTCTTTATGTCTCTGTTATTTGAGGCATTGATAATCCAATTGTAGATCATAATTTTGTGTTATTTCTTTAAAATTTATCTTAATAGTTTAACAAATCTCTATATTCAATTTTTGTCTTGGTTATCCTTTTGAATTTGATATAATATATAATCTGCGAGTGTAAGAAAATTTTTTTTGTCTAGGTTATCCATTTCAACACTGCATGTGGGAGTTCTACAACAGGCAATAGTCTTAGTCCAATCTCTATCAAGAATCCAGTACAATGCATCAGACTAAATGGCTTACTAAAATTTTATTCCTACCAGGAACACATATAAGAAAAAAATAGAGAAAGAAGGCTATGTGAAACTGTGAGGAAGAACAATGCCAATGCACCATTGTTGGCATGACATGATCTTCACTCTATTTGATTAACGAATGACCCCTTTTCACCTAATCAAAACTACCTGTTCATTATATATTTTAATAATATATTTAAATGTATTTTGTTATTATTTTTTGTTGATCTTTTTGGGAGTCATTAGAGTCTAGTTTTGAGTATATTTGGTGTATAGAAATCCTAATAGTATGGTTAAGCAAATTGTGAGACGTCGCAAATGTTTATGTGAAGATTCATTATACAAGATGAGCTGATGATATTCAATTATTTCTTTCTTAATTTTTGCAGTTTGCTATATACTGTTTGTTTGACAATGTTTATCACCATGTTATTTAGACAGTTCAAAATGGTTTGCTATAATTTAACCAAGTTCTCACTTGCTAATTTTCTTCTTTGAAACAGCCTTGCAATAAAATTTCCTTATTTAATGAAGAAGAAGTTGAAAGAAGGTGAAGAATTAAGACGTGTTTCTCAACTTGACTGGAAAATAATTGAAAGCGACCCCGAAAAAACATTTATGGCCTCAGGCCTAGTGTTTGTCCCTTTGCCAGTTACTTCAACATTAGACCTCACTATAAACATACCATTGTTTTTCATCCACATACCAATTTTCCCTCAACCTTTTTCTGGAACTGCAGGTAATACATGGTGAGGATTATGTCTCTCTAGGCTTCCTTTTTGGGAAAAAGTCAAGAGTTGCATATATATCTGATGTTTCACGCTTCCCTGCTAGTACCGAGAATGGTATGTGCTCCTTGATTTGCTTTTGATGCTCTTGTTGTGTTTGTTTTTTAATTTTTGGTGACTCAATGACAAGTGCATTTGTAGGGGTATTGGATGTTAAACCCATTCATGAATGATTTTTGCTATGGTAAGCCTTACATGAGATACATGTGATGTAGTTGTAGCTAAGTATTGCTTAACGAGAAAAAAAATTTCTTTAGTTGCATGTTTCCAGCTTCAGATCACAGATCAGTTGGTTGATTGGTTACATTTTTTAAGGAAACAAAAGAATCTGAAGCTGTCACATGACTATTTGTTGCAAGATGATGCTTGTTTCATGTTTCGAGATGAAAATACGCAAAAGATTAAGGGCTTTTCCTGTGTTTGGTTTTGTTTTGTGCTACCTGTTGTGCTTGCATTTGGACACTTGTTTAATATCCTATTTTACAAAACAACTTGATGTGTCTTGGGAACCTTGTTGAGTAGGGCATTTGTTGGGTCCTGTGTGCGTTACTATCATAATCATAGATGATGATTGATGGAGAAAATTTCAAACGATCGTGCTTTAGTTTCTACTTTGCTTGCTCAAGTGTCCAAAAGCTCCTCATCTTTTTCACTTCAAATCATGACTTGTTTCTCTGCAGTTATATCAAAATCTGGAGCAGGACAGCTGGATCTTCTAATCTTGGATACACTATTCAAGGTCAATTGACTTTGTCATCTAATTGTAATTTTTATGTATATTCACTTCTGTTTTATAAAATATGGTTTGTTCCTTCTTCTTTGGATGAATAACTATTTAACACAAACTAGCGCGTACTAGTCCCTCTTTCTATCTATATAATTGAATAGCCTTTGTTCATTGGAATCAGGTAATCCTAAAAGAATTTTTTTCTTTTTCTGAGTTTAGAATCTTTTACAACTCTCATATGTTCCCAAGTGCTAGCTAATTGTAAATTGTTAGTTTTGTATTAGAACATAATGGACTTAGATACTACTAAACAAGGTTTGCGATTTCGAATCGTTCCACTCATATCAGGCAGTACGTACCAGTTCGCTTGTGAACCGGTACGCAAATCACCCACTACCGGGTGGTCCGCTCGACATAGCGGCTTGGCTACAGCGAGGCTGGGGGAGAAGTGTCAAAGAAGGAAGAAAAAGGAGAGGGCGTTCGAAGAAGACGGAGTAGAAGAGAGAGAATCGGGAGAACCTTGGCGCAAACTTGTTTCTACTCCCTTTTTAAATCCTAATCCGACGTCGCACTCCCTCAACGATCCCGATCCAGGAGGTAACGACAAGGAGAGTTGTAAAGAGGAGGATCTGGAGCCACGGGGATCAGGAGAGGCAGCGGAAGAGGCGGAGACGTCTACAGCCTTCTTCTTCATCGCGTTCTTCGCCGAAGGCTGGAGACGCTTGCGGCCTTCGACGTCTTCGTCGCCTTCTTCGCCAAATGCCACGGACGAGAAGAGGAGGAGGCGACGTCGCCGAGGTTGCATACGCCTTTTTCTAAATTTGTTATATATTTATATATTGATTTTTATTTTTTTATTTTTTTATATTATATATATATATATATATATATATATATATATATATAG